AGCAAATATTTATATTAACATTTTGCATAGCAATAAAAATACTAATTTATAATAATCAAAATATTCACATAGAAAAATCAAATACACATACAGGAAAAAGAACAATATCTATCATCATTTAACCCGTTGCTTTATTTAAATTAAAAAAAATAAACACAAAAACTTGAAATCATATACTTTATATGATAAATTTAAAATATATATTAGTAGTATAAATTTAAAACCGTTCAAAGAACGGTATACTACGGGTGAGATCCTAAAATTATTAGATTTTATAACAATAATAATTATTTTCTTGGATTTTAGAATACTAATAATTTAGCTAACGAGATAATATAGACGGGTTTATATGGGATGACGGGTTTGAGTCGATATTAATAAATAACGGTATATCACGGATGAAATCCTAAAATTTACAATCAAAATATAATTATACAATCTTAAACACAAAATAAAAGAAACAATATTAACAAAACAAATCCAACTTAAATTTAATATTTTTAGTTATAAAAAAACCGACCCACGGTATACTACAGAGTAAAATATTCAAAATTTTAAAATCTACCATATATCGTTACTTAAAAAAATGTATGTTTTCGTATCTATACTTCAAAATTGATAGATAGATATCTACATTTAAAAATACAAATTAATATGATATATCTTCAGTTAATCTTTTAAAAAATAATATTATATTTTTCTTAAAAATATAGTCCCGCGGTATACCGCGGGTTAAATTCTAGTTTATAGACATTCTCTAATTAATTGTTCTAATGTTGCACGTGTGGAGCAAATCATTGTATAAACACTCTTATGATTTTTGATTATGCTTGAAACCAATTAGTAAAAATGGTGAGTTTCGAAATTATAACTTTAAATCATATAAATGACTAGATTATAAAAGAGAAATTGTTAAAAATACCCCTTTTTCAATACCCCTTTTCAAAAATGCCCCCTTTGAGAGTCCATTTTTAAGTTTGCCCTCTTTTAATTTTTAATGACCATTTTACCCTTATTTGAAACAAAATTAGGTCCACAAAATATAAAATATTTTTTGGCGGGAAAAGTGATCCCGCAATTTTCCCGCCAAAACACTTGTAAAAACCTTTAAAAAACCTTGTAAAATTTTCCCATAAAAATTTTCCCGCCAAAAAATTTTCCCGCCAAAAAAATTTTTTTGCGGGAAAAGTGATTCCGCAATTTTTTTTGCGAAATTTTTTTGGCGGGAAAATTTTTGGCGGGAAAAATTTACAAGGTATTTTAAAGGTTTTTTACAAGGTATTTACAAGTGTTTTGTAAGGTTTTATAATGTATTTTAAAAGGTTTTACAAGGTACTTTTAAGGTTTTATAAGGTATTTATAACTTGTAAAACCTTATAAAAAACTTGTAAAACCTTATAACTTGTAAAAACCTTATAAAAAAGCTTGTAAAATCTTATAATATCTTATAAATACCTTGTAAATACGTTGTAAAACCTTTTAAAATACATTGTAAAACCTTATAAATACCTTGTAAAAAACCTTTAAAACACCTTGTAAATTTTTGGCGGGAAAAATTTTCCCGCCAAAAATTTAACGCCAAAAAAATTGCGGAATTACTTTTCCCGCAAAAAAAATTTTTTGGCGGGAAAATTTTTTGGCGGGAAAAAATTTTACGGGAAAATTTTACAAGGTATTTTAAAGGTTTTACAAATTTTTACAAGTGTTTTGGCGGGAAAAATTGGGGGATCACTTTTCCCGCCAAAAAAATATTTTGTATTTTGTGGACCTAATTTTGTTATATTTCCTTATATATTTATAATATCTTTTATTAAAAGAAGGGTAATTTAGTCATTTTGTACATAAAAGGGGTATTTTTAAAAATGGACATCCAAAAGGGGCATTTTTGAAAAGGGGTATTGAAAAAGGGGCATTTTTGTGAGTCTCCCATTATAAAATATGCTATACATTGATTTTTTAGTCTGATTGATAAAATTTAGATTTTAAAGTTAAACTAGGCATGGGCAAAAAAACCGGACCCGATACTCGGACCGATATCCGGACCGAAAAAACCGGTTTGGGGCGGGTAAGGGTAAGAAGAAATTACCTCATTGGGTACAGTTTTGGTAAACCCGTAAGTCCCAAATCGGTTCGGGGATTACTCATTACCCAAACTGGATACCCATAAACCCGATGAAAGCCATATATGTATATACGTATATACACATATAGATATAGATTTATAGTTTTATACTAGGTTACCTATGTAACTGAGGTTGTCATTTGTTTGTTTTATCTTTTCAGGAGACAAAGATACAAAACAAAGTCATCACTCATCATCAATCAACTCGTTCTAGTTCTATGTTTTTCATATTCGGATTTTTTTTTTTGAGGTTTGCCAATTAGGTACTCTTGTTTAAGGAGTTCAAGAATTTCTATTTGTCATTTTTTCTACTCTTAACTCTAAGTATTAATCTTTGTGACTTTGCCTTGGATTTGGATGTTAAGTTTGAAGTTCTATTTTCTTTTTTCGTGTGTTTTGTGCATGTACAAGTGTTTGAAAGTTCGGATATTCTTGTGATATTTTGGGTTTATGGGTAATTTTTACCATTCAGACCCGAAGCGAAAGAAACCCAAATTTTTCGAGCATTTATCGGTTCTTAAAATTATTACCCAGACCGACCCCAACCCAAGTGTACTCGAACCGGACCGGAACCGAATGTTTATAATTACCCCATTGGATAATAAATCCATTACCTATTTAATCCGAACCCTAAAGGATTCTAGCCGAACCCTAACAGGTTACCTATATGTCCAAGCCTAGTTTAAACCAATCACCTGGATAAACCATGTTCACTGGGTTGCATAAGTCAGCCAAGTAAAATGATGATGCTAAAAAGAAAAAAAGTCGGTTCAATGGAGCCAACAAGTTTGAGCCATAAACCACAAAACTAGCCGGTTTAGTATCCGGTTTAATTTACAAAACATTGCCTTCCTCTTCAATAAAAACCAAAAACCCTAATTATTTTCAATCAGACTTTCACTTTCGAAACCTCTCATCGAAGCTACAATGAGTATCATCGCAGGCTCCTACGAGAGATTCATTTGGGGTTTCAGGCTTAAACCCACAAAGCACGACGCCGATAACCAAACCCTAACTCTCTCCCCTCTCTTCTCCTACCCATCCCACATCTCCCCAATCACCACCGTCGCTTGTTCCGGTCCTGCCGCAGCTTCCGGCGGCTCCGACGATACAATCCACCTCTACGACCTCCCCTCCGCTTCTTCCCTTGGCTCTCTGCTTGACCACAATCACGCAGCTTCTATCACTGCTCTCTCCTTCTACACTCCTTCGTCCCTCTCCTTCCCTCGCAATCTAATCTCCGCCGCCGCAGATGGCTCCGTCGCGATATTCGATACCGATCCTTTTGTTTTGCTTAAGTCGTTTCGTCCTCATAAGAAAGCGGTTAATGATTTAGCGATTCATCCTTCAGGGAAGCTTGCTTTAGCTGTTTATCGTGATGAGTTCTTTGCGATGTTGAATTTGGTTAGAGGAAAGAGGAGTTTTTGTTGTAGGTTAGGTCTTGAAGCTAGTCTTGTGAAATTTGATCCTAGTGGTGAAAGGTTTTTCATGGTTGTGAGTAATAAAGTTGGAGTTCATCAGTCTGAAGATGCTAAGCTTCTTCTCGAGCTCGAGAATCCGAGCCGCAAGCGTATACTCTGCGCTGCTCCCGGAGAGGTGGTGTTTCTTACTCTTTCGAAGTTTTGATTTCTCTATCGTTCCCACAATTGCAACTCTAGTCTCTTAATTGGAACATTTGATGTTTAAAAGTATTCTGTGTGAGCAACTTTGAGATTCTTAGCTTGTTGTTTGTTGGTTTACTTTGATTGCTGTCTAAATTGAACTAGAGCTGTGTGATTCGGTTTTTGTTTCATTTCATGCTTAGTCCTATGTTGCCCAAGTGTGTAAGTTGCAGAATAGTCCACCTTGGAACCTGAAAGGAGGTTAATTTAAGGCTATAATAGTATCCATTCCTAGACTATAATAACTCTTTTGGGAAAAGGTTTATGGTATCTATATGTCCGTTTATAGTGTAACAGATAAATTCTTTCAACGAAATTTTGCTTCTTTGGTTCAATCGTGTGATCGGTTCAAGTTTTTGGTTGTTGTAGTGTAGATACCTGAAGTTGCCATGTTGTTAAAGCCTCCGAAAACAAGTTATTTGGCTAAACAGAGTTCTTCCAGTTTCTTATTGTTATGTGTTTATGTTTTATATTTGGGAATGGTTATAATTTTGATTCCGAGACTTTATTTCTTAACTCAAAGGTTTGCTTAATTTGCAACAGAGTGGAACTCTGTTTACAGGTGGTGAGGATCGGGCTATAACAGCTTGGGACACAAATAGCGGGAAGCTTGCTTATTCCATAGAAGATGCTCACCCAGCTCGAATCAAAGGTATTGTTGTGCTCACCAGGAATGATAGTGACGGCTCCTTGGAAGATCCATACTTGATAGGTTCTGCATCATCTGATGGCGGAATCAGAGTTTGGGACGTGCGAATGGCGGCTAAAGAGAATACAAAACCATTAGCCGAGACAAATACTAAATCAAGGCTTACTTGTCTTGCCGGGTCAGCTCTTAAATGTGAGTTTATTTTTCATGATATGCTTTTCGGTAATAAAACATATAGCAAACTCGTACAAGTTGTGACATTATGGTTCTTCATCTTTCTCTGTTTATTCAGCGATGAGACGGCCACAGATTGGAAAGCAGCAAGCTCAGAAGTTAGACGAAGGAGACGAGAACTCAGAATGAGAGCTGATTAGTTTCGAGGGTTTATTGAAAAGATTGTGAGCTGACATTTTTTTTGATGCAAGTTTTGGTAGAATCCAGTAGATTCTTGTCGAATTATAGTTATAAACCGTTGATTTGTGCGATTTGTGAAAGAAAAACAATCATTCTACTATTATCATTTTACACGAGTTATCATCTATTTGGACAATCTCATCTATACATTGTGTTATTCTCAAACTTTTAATTAATGATTATTGGGATATACTGAGCATTATGCAAAAACATACATCATGTTTGCTAAACCAACATCATGTAATACTAAGAACATGCAACATAGTCACATACATGAAAGGGACCAAGATTGAAAAGAGCAGCAAGCTAAGCCATATATATCCATGAACGTGTGTGATAATGAGAGTGAGAGTGACAATGATGACTCAATACTGAGTGGTGTTGTTGGGGATTTTGCCTTGTTTCAACTGAGAAAGAGCATATTCAGCGGTACGGATGAGATCAGCGACATTGTGTTTCGAAATCTCCTCGGAGCCAAACAAGAAGATGGTCTTAACCTCAGCTTTCTTTGCAAGTCTTGCAGCATAACTAAGCTGCAATTTCGGCGAGTTGATGCTCCGAAGTAATTGTCGATACAAAGAAAGAACTTTTCCTCTGTTCTTTGCAGCCTCTTCTGCTGTTAACCATATCAGACTCTTCATGGCTTCGTCCTTATAACCAAATTGTAACAAGAATGTCCTGCAACAAAGGAAGAAATGCTGGTTGAGTAATTTTGTCAAACACTTGGTGCGCAATAACCAAAACACCAATGAAAAATCAGATAACCAACGATACATAACGTAAGCAATTCGATTCAATAGCTACAAGAATCAGAATTAAGGAAATGTACAAATGGTAATCTCATAACACAAAAAGGCGAACCAACAAAAGCAATTTCAAATTGGAGAATTCAGTTGTAGGAAAATTTCATAACCAAAAGCATAAATAAGAAAGAAAAGACTCGATGATTTGCCTTCAACTGTGAGAGATTTTCACCGGAAGGTGAGGATCCAGCGAGCGAGAGTTGTGGAAGCGGGAGGTTGAAGGATTAAAGAGTAAAACCAACCCACGTTGGTCCAGTTGGTAAAGGGCTCACGGCGGTGAGTTCCCCCTCTTGGGTTCGATTCGGATTGGCCACCTAGCCGCTCCCTTAACGATGAGATAAAGCGTACCCGGACGCAAGACCTCGTGGATTAGTCTTTGGGCATAGAAAGCCTTTGGGATGACCACGGTTATCAAAAAAAAAAAAAAAAAAAAAAAAAAAAAAAAGGATTAAAGAGTAAATAAGTTCTTAATTAGAAAAGCAAAATTTTGCAAATTCTTTTTTTCTTTGGTCTATAAAAATTGCAAAAAACCTTTCAACAAACCTCAAACTTCATTTTTGACCAAAGGAAAAAAGTAAAAAACTCTCAAACTTAAATTTCAATTTTAACACTCAAAATATACTCCATCTGTTTCACAAAAAATGTCATTCCATATTTTTCACACAAATTAAGAAAATTATTAAAATTTCTACTATACCCTTTATTAATACACTAAACAAAATTATCTCTCTTATTAATACATTAAAAAAAATAAGGTTAAAAATGGATTTTTTTATTTAATATTTTGCATTAGAAATACAAAACGACACTCTGTGAAACAAAAATAAAACCTTAAAACAACACTCTTTGTAAAAACGGATAGAGTATTAAACTACGTTGTTACTTGTTGGCTGTTGCAATTGTTGTTTTCTTTTTCCTAGACTTTTGGTTTTGTTGTGAACAAACTTCTATAGATAGAGAGACAATTGTGGTAAAGAGTAAACAAAAGACCAGTTTGCCACTTCTGTTCCAAGCTTCTATGAGACACCCAACATTTACATTCTTTAATCCTCTCTGTAGCAAAACCATTCACACATTCTGAGATTTAGTTTTACTTCTCACTTTACTCCAAAATCCTAAACTCCTATCCACTCGTCTTTACCACATTTATGCAAATGACCTCTAATAAGACCACCACATTTGCTTTAATATGATTCACTCAGCAGTTTCCGCAACTGACTTTCCTTTCGTATCTACAGTTGCCGGCTTCTCCAGAAGCCGAAGTTGGTTTTGTAACACCTACCGAGAAAACAATTTGATTGAAATTATGAGCTGCTAATAGAGAAAAGGGTAGTTTTTGTACAAATTAGATCAACATACCTCGATTTGGGACTCAAGAAATCTTCTTTGAGCTTCTAACTCCGTCTGAGGAAGCAATGAACAACCTTGAGACCTTCATATGTCCAATCTTAGTGTTAGTTTTTTCTCTACCATCATATATAGTGGATGATAACAAAAGTCAAAGGGAAGAAAAACTATACAAGCCAAGTCTCAGGCTAACATGACATATACAGGACATCACATGGAAATGTTCAGGTGGAATAAAAAGACATGTGAGAGAAACTAGCACCATAATAGCTTCTTTAAGCTACAACACTCAATAGACACTAGCTAAGATCATGTCTGAATATATTTGTTATACATGCTATGTGAGTATGTGTTATTTCTTTGGATATAGCTTTCACACATACCATACTAGTGTGTTTGCAGAAGATGGATAAACAACGGATCTGCCATATATAGAGGCTGCAGAAGCAGCAGCTTGAAACCTAGCCTCGTGCCTGCTCATATTCTCACTGGCAGCAGCAGAAACAGAAGAACCCTGACCATCAGAACTTGAAGTACCGATTCCTGTATGAAGCGTGGAGCATCATTAGTCTCATGTTAAAAACACTTTAAACGATTCATCTTCTGGACAATCTGAAGCACATATGTCATTCTCCATACCAAGAACCTTAAGAGACAAATAAGATTGGGAGCACAGAGTTCAATATAACCAAAAATATGTATGAATAGCAAGACCTATACCTTGCTGCAGGGATTCTTGGTGTGGTCCACGGTTTCCAGAAGCTGTTGATGTAGCATTCTCAGCTGGGACAACCAGTGCTCTGCAGGTGGGACATGTGTTCTGTCGTTCCAACCATGACCGCAAACAATGCACATGAAATAGATGGCCACATACTAATTTCTTCGCTGAGGTCATTTCTTCACGACATATGATACAAGTGGCATCATTTCTGCAAACCCCAAATAAAGAAATGTGATTAATCTAGCTATATAAGCATAATGAAGTTAAGAAATTTGGAAACATAAATCTTGTGGGAATATCTGGAACTTACACACTAAGTTCTTCAGGAGTTGCATCAGGAAACCGTTCATTCATATTGGAAGTGATTTTACGATATCTGAGGTAATCAGTCACACGAATCTTGAAGTTTCTGAACGTTTCGTAGAGCTCCCGTATTAGATGCAAGGGAAGGCCATAGTTCCTACGCAATAAAAAAAGTGATACTCGAATTAGGAAACAAATTCCAATACTAAAATGCCATAAATTACACAAAGACTGTCGCAGTAGATCTATTGTTTCTCATTTATGACTTTCAACAAAATATATGAAAGCACTAATGTAACCAAGAGAAGACTCATAATTGGACATAAGTGTAATGATAGAGTTATGCAAGTAACTCTTAAACAAGTATCCAGCAACAAAAACTGTAAAACGATAAGGTAACAGTGAGTTTGACATACTAATTTCAGCATATTAATTATTAAGGATTCAGGTTTCTTTTGGTGGTATAACATCTAAGTTTGGACTAATGAAAAACGTGAATGAACTAAAAACTTACATGAATATCATAAGGAAGAAGCAAAGATACATGGACAAGTGAAGCAAGTCACGAACAAGCTCCAGATAGAAAGTGTATACTGGTTTCCCTTCCCATTGACCTTCCTTGAGTATATCAGTGACATAGAAGGCATACTTCACAATAATAGAAACAGTTGTTGTTGCCAGAATCATATACCTGCAACATAAAAATCAAAACTAAGTCTAAAGCTAGGCTGTATGATGCAAAATTCAGTAAGACTTATTGTAAGAACAAACAGCTAAACAGAGGGAAATATCACATGGTATATCCAAAGACGGATACATAACTAAACAATATGCAACATACCCAAAACTAATATCATGAATAAAAATCCTGAACTCTTGATCACCTACGCCCTTCCCCCATATACTCAGCAATTTTCGATAAATGTTTCATGTATCTTTTGTGTTTGAAAGCTGGCATAAGCTTTTAACTAGGGGGTTGATTAAATAAGGATCCTAGTAACTAAAACAGTATCTAAGAGGCCTTCAAGTAAGGTTCATAGAAAAACATATTCACGATAGTAATAGTGTCTCATATGGTTCTTCTCTGACACCTGAAGAGCTCAAACAAACATCAGAGTTATTCCTGTGATACCCCAAATATTTACTTGTATATAGAGATTTAAAACATACTAGCTATCCAAATATAGGGTTACAATGACATCTACATCGAAAGGTAAGTTATCCTAGACTAAACAAAATCTTGGCAGATAATTTATTAGAAATTCTTCTCATATGCAACTCAGCTATGTCAAATTCACAGGTTTTGGCAGGTGCAAAAACTTTCAAACATTTTCAAAATTAAGCTCAATTTCTTTGCAGCAAAAAGAACCTAACATTCCTGAAAACATGTATATGCGTATATCCTTCATAACTCGAAAAACAACTCTTCCTCAACGAATCTCTAACTCTACAGGATTCCATGACAATAAGTAAGAAGCAAAAGACGCTTACTCAAACGTGAAGAAGACTGACATAGAAGCCTTCCGGGACTGAATCAATTGCCGTATAGAACTATATGTAAGAAGACCATCTAAGAGCAAAAGAAACACCATAAACGAAACAATACGAACATGAGAGAGCAAAGTCACAGAAGGAGTAGTCTCAATATACTCCACTCTCTTCTGAGCCATCCAATGCAAACCCTTAATCAACAAAAGAGTCACAACCAAAGAGATAAAACCAACAGAGAAGTCCTGTCTAAAAATAGTAATAGCAAAGAGAATCTCCATGAGTTCTCTCCAAGCTTGCTCATTCAAACGCTCAACTTCAGCTTCTCTAAGAGAACCCAAAAACACAATTTTGACAAGATTCCATAAACTGAGCATTAAGACCAAACCCATGTTCAAAAGAACCACCAAATTGATCTTGGACGTTGATAGATACACAGTCGCTGGGTAAAATTGACCTCTGCTACTAAAAGCATGATAAATCACAACCAATGCCGCAAGAGTACTTAGACCAGCGTAAACCCTTAGCTGAATCATTGTCCTCAAGCTCCTTCACAATAGGATCATAAAGAGGAAAGAACAAAAAAAAATCCAAACTTTAATCCCATTGATCAATGTAAAGTACAAAATCCAAAACCCAGAAATTGTTTCAAAAAATTGAGAATTCGATCAAATAACTTACAGGAAAGAAGAAATCAGGAGAAGCTGATAATTCAGAGTCGTGTATAGGTTGAAGAAGAGATATAATCAAAGCCTTAAGCTTTCCATTAAGGAAATGAGAAATCACGAACGAAGAGGGAGGAGGAGGAAGAAGAACTCTCTTAGAAATTCGTCTGCGTATGCGTAACCAATAAAATCATGACACGTGTACAAGAGTTAGACATATCAATCACGAGTTAATTGGGCCCAATTAGATTTAAAATCTGTAAAGCCCAACTATTTCTTGGTTCTTCACCATCGACGAAAATGCTTTGGCCTCTAAAAAACATCGACCCGAAGCTCATATTTAAATATAGGCCTGGACAAATAAACCGAACCGAATGTACCGAACCGAAACCGAAGCAAAAAAACCGAACCGAACCGAACCGAAATTTTGAAAATAACCGAATGGATAGTAAATTTAATAACCGAAATAACCGTAACCGAATCGGTACCGAACCGAAATATTTTGGGTAACCGAATATCCGAAATACAGTTATATTTTTAAAATAATTAGTTATTTATAGACCAAATAATCAAAAATACTTGAAAAATATGTAAGAATAGTTAAAATACTCGAAAATAACCGAAATATATCCAAAAATATCCGAAAATACTTAAAAATAACCGAAATATCCTAAGCAAAATAACCGAATGGATACTAAATTTTAAAACCGAAAGAACCGGAACCGAACCAAAATTTTAAAATATCCGAATGGATACTAAATTTTGAAACCGAAAGAACCGAAACCGAATGGACCCAACCGATAACCGAAAGCCCAGGCCTATCTAAAT